AATTTTTTTTTTTTTTTGTGTTCTTTCCACGGAAGGGCAATTTTCTCATGCTGTGCTGCTCTGCCCCCCTGTTGCTTCCCTCCCGCGTTAACTCTCCAAAGGTGGAAAGGAGTAAATAAACCATTAAACAGTTAAACCGTTAAACCGTTTTACGCGAATGGGAGCGTACCCGTTGATGGCATATATCCTGTACCGCCAATCTTTCGTCCCCAATTTTGATTTTCCTTATGCGAAAAAAAGGATGAACATGTGATGTGAGTGTATAAAATGCATATCCACATGGCAGTTTATTAAGGGAAATTTTTCCGCACAAAAAAAGAGACATAGTGGGGAGGAATCTTCATCAGCAGGTTCTAAATATACCTCCTTATAACGTTCTCACAAAAACATTAGAAAAGTTCTAATTGTTTTTCTTCCCCTCTTGGAGCGTCGATTTGCTGGTAGACATGACCCGCGAATAGGGGTAGGAGCGTAAGAAAGGTGAAAATATTATTTGGAAATGTTCACATGTGGGAATTTTTTTCTAAATGGGAAGAAGCCAACCTGGTCGCTCATTACTTCTCTTCCCTTCTGCGCAAAAAAATGATTAGCACGCATGGGTTATGCCTACACTTCTGGACGAAGATTCCCACACGTTCTTGCCCTTAACCTATGAAACGTTTGTCGCGTTGGAGACGTGGCACGTGTACCGCTCCCTCCCCGCAGCAACACCAGTGGGGCTACCTCTCAAATATGTGACGGTAATGATGAAGTGTTAGTCCCCTTACATACACATGTTTGAAAAAGAAAGTGTTAAAAAGAATTCTCTTTTTTTTTTAGCCTAGCTGTTGGAAGTTCCAAATGGGTAAAAAAAAAAAAAAAAAATAGTGATCACGTGGTGGAACATAGTCGAAAAATTAAAACAATTTTCGCCACGCGCTATGAAGATAAAATAGAGCTACACATGGGGGCAGAAAAAATAGGGGGCCAAATCATGCATCCTCCACAGTGATGTATTTTCTTATTTTTTCAATTTTTTGGCACAACACAGGGGTGGTTCCCTTTGGAAAAACAGTCGGTTGCGGCAGGTGATATAGTCGAACGTTGGGCTGCTTATACGGTCTTATGTGTTGCGAACCATCCTTGGTTATAACGCAAATGTCCACATTTCCACCTGAACCCAGATCGTTAAAAATACCTGCACATATAGCTTCGCACACGAGTTCTTTCCCTTCTTCTATCGTCATATTATCCCTATATTTAGCCTCCAATACAGCCATAGCACTAAGGGATCCGGACCCCAAAGCTGTGAAGGGTAGAAGACAGGAAGAGCCATGCTGATGAATACCATACAGCTGAGGGCCGGTAACATCTACCCCTCCTAACACAATTGCACACACTTTATATCCTTGGTACTTAAACAACTCTTGTGTCAATCTAGAAACACACATGGTTACTCGAGGCTGTGTGTTCGTATTTAAACGATGCAATTCGACATTGTGTTGCAGCCATAAGGTAGTATGCTCCAGATCTCCAGCTACCCCTGCACCAGCACAGTATATATTTTTACTTATGTAGTGTAATTTGCTACAATTTTTATCTGCTACGATTGGACCTTCCGTAGCTCTGGTATCAGCTCCTAGAATAACCGCATTTTGGCATACCAAGCCACATATGGTTGTTCCCGTTTTTCGAAAATTGGGAAAGGTTACTCCTTTTTCCTTCAAAATTTCATTTCTCTTGATATTTTCAAAATTAAAGCCTCCGCTTTCTTCCTTCAGCGCATTCATATATTCGAGCTTCATCTTTACGCTGAATGTGATGTTAATGTATGTTGCGTTATGTGGGGGGGTGGCCGCTGATTTTTTAAGCACTGGTTCTTCGCCGTGTATACTTCGTTATTTGGAGAAAGGGTTGCCCCAAGTGGGACCAAAAAAACGAATGGCTATCCGTTTGGTATGTGGGGGGGGGGTACCTTATCAGGGGTTAGCTGCTCTTGTTGTGCCCTTAAATTGCAGCTCTCCCCTTCTCAATTATTCACATGCCATAAATTCGTGCTCTCCCAAAGTGAAGCTGTATATGTGTTCGCATACCCTGATGTATAAATCCCTCCTAGCAAAAAAAAATTGTTAAAAAGGTTCCCCTCGGCCGCAAATATGCACGCTGGTTCGAAATGGTATGCTTGCTGCAATTGCGCATTCGGTGAGCAGTGCTACTCGCGGACGCTTTCTTAAGAAAACGCAAGTGAATGCTTACTCGGGAAAGTAGCATATATGGGTTAAATGAAAAAGGGGGGCTTCAAATGGTAGTTTCAAGTGGTACCTTCAAATGGAAGGCGAATGCGAAAACGCCTTAACGGAGCCAACCGCTAAAAATGAGCAACTTTTTAAGGAGCGTGCCCATTACGAATTTGCTACTTGGTGATTAATTTTTTTTTTTTTTCTCAAACGAAAACGTGGAAAAAGTGTACACTATGGAATAATAATATTACGCGTTACGGGTTCCCTTTTTTTTTTTTTTTTTCTCGAAGTGAACACAAATGAGTCACACCCCCAAGAGGTACACTCAAGGATTGGCGGCAAAGACGGAACGGCCTCCGTGGACTTGCCAGCTTTAGGAAAAGGGAGAAAGGGCTATGCGAACAAACCGATTTGTTTTCGCGTGCGGGGTTGTTTACATGGCCAAAGTTGTTATCACCTGTGTTTGCACAATTCAATTTTTTGCTTTTGCGCGATGCTGGCATTTTCTTACGCATGAACGGTGTAAGCAAAGTTGGTCTCACACTTGAGGGAAGGTGTCATATAAGGGACCAACTGCACCCACGGCCTCGTGCAAGGAAAAATGAAGTCAGATTAAACAAAATGATGTGAATCCTTCGTTAGATGAGCGCTGTTGCCCCCTACAAATTGACGGCCGAATTTTTAGCGTGCCGGAGCGTGTGGCGAGGTACCTAGCAAAGAAAGAAAAATAGTACATTTCGCGAGTACACCAGTTCACACTTTGTGCTACGCTCATGTTCACCGTTCACCGGCTTGTAGGAAGAAACACACATTTTACTGCTAAGCGGTCATATTTCACCCCACCCCACCCCTTTTGGTGCGCCATTAAAAGGGGTGACCCGTCATATATAGGTGTATACACAGCACATATTATACATATGTGAGTGTAGCGTATCTCTACAAAACGTTGACACGTTTGTCTCCCCAAACGATTTCCACCCCCTTGTCATCACTTGAATGTTATTCATCTTCCTAAGAAAAATCGTTTCTGTCGGAGAACGCGACCTTCTGTAAGTCAGATTCGTTGTGCAAAATTATTTCAAACAATTTATTCCTAACGCAAAAAAAAAAAAAAAAAAAATTATGAACAGCCAGCCGTTTCTGTAAACCTAACATACAAATTGGTCATACAAAAAAAAAAAAAATGCGCAACTTTTTTATTGCTTGTTCATATTTTTTTACACATTTTTTCATGCTTCATTTTTGATTTGGCACTATTAAAAAAAAAAAAAAAAGAACATACTACAAAAAAGACAATATCCTTTTTGAAGAAAGAAGCGTGAGAAATTTCATTTCGTTTTCAAAACGGTCATAAAAGATGTATATTAAAAATCATGTAAACAGTGACTGCTTCCTTTTCGCTTTTCTTTTTTTTTTTTATGGAGAAAAAATGCTTTATAATAATTGTAACGTGTATATATGTGTATGTAAATGTATATATAACTATGCATACATTTAACGCATCCTTCATTTTGAATTGAATTATACCCATAAGAGTTCTAAAAAATGAAAGTTTTATTTATGAAATGTCTAAATCTTTTTTGTTCTTTTTAATATGACATTATGAGTGAGATTTTTTTTTCCTTTTTTTTTTATTAACCCATTCTCCTGTTTGCGATCTATTTTCCTTCCCGTGTGTAGCAATACGTACTATCTAAATATATATGCGTACATATGCATATGTATGTTCGTATGTACCGAGCGGAAAAAGGAATTCCCCCCTTTGCGATTTAAAGGGAAAACTGAAAAATATGCGCAATGCTGGAACGGCCCCTTAAGAAATGATACCTTGATGATATGCCCATAGCGCATTCGTAAATTTTTTATTGCGTATGCGCGTGCTTATTATGTGCCCCTTTATGGAAGCCGTTCGAAGTCAGCTAGTGGCGCGCTTTTAAAACAGTACCCCCTTCTCTGGTGCATCCTTTCCATCGCACCACACACTTTATGTAATTTTGGAGCATTGCAAAGGGTACGCGCGCGTGTATATAAGTGTACCTATACCTCTTGCGTACGTATGTAAATATATACGCACGTGCAGGTATATTGGCGCTGCACCGGCCCTGCTCGCCAGAATTAAAAAAATACATGCCATACGTTTTCCGTCGGGGATATAGAATTTCCGAATAATGAAAGATGCGCAGTTTGGAAGCCGCCTCCATTCATTCCGTGCAGTGTCCCTTGTGTCTCCAGTAACGTTTTCCCCGTGTTGTGCCTCCCCGGGGGAGTTCAGCAAGCTGCGAAGTGGAGTGAGGAAGTGGTGAAGCGAAGCAGCAAAGCGAACCACCGAAACGACACAACCACGCGCTAAGCAAACAACAAATCAGGTAAAACAGTAACCAGACAATCAGGCAGCCATCCACTGAGCGACATCGGCAAGTACGAGATTTAAAATAGAACAAGAAAAAATGCTTAATCGCTCAGAATGCATAACGGTAAACCTGCCCTCGTGTGCATAGGGCATATGAGCGTTTACGTAGGCATATATGAGCGAAGGCTTTTATGCAAATGTACATGAATAGCCAGCCTTCTTGTTAACCCCCTTCCTCGCCCCGTACTAATCAAATGGCGGAATCATGCTCGTAATTACAGAAAACACATTCGAAAAAACCAACAACCCAAAGTATCCAAGAGGGAGCAAAGTGGCAATCAAAAGAAACAACCCCCAAGTGAAAGTCATATCAAGTAGAATCACCCCATATTGTGGAGACATAACAAAAGGCAAAAGAGAGTTAATAAAAACACGTAAGTTCATAAAGGAAAGTTATAAGATAAAGTACCACCATTATCTATATGCAAGGAAACATCTATGCAATGGAAAACATCAAAGGAAGATTAAACTTTTTTCCATAGAAAAGACAAAAAATTTAAACCATTTGGAAAAGTTCTCCAAAACTAAAAAGAAAAAAAATCAAGTCATAGCAAGGAGAGTTAACTATAATGTTATCTTAAAAAATTCGTATATAAAAAATGTCCCATATGAAACGAATTCCTTTTTAGTTCATTTAAAAGGAAGGAGAAGGAAAAGCCACAATAGGAGAAGCGCTCGAAAGGATTGTTCAGGCGTCCGAGAAGTTGCTTTGGAGAAGGCTAAACATACACGTGGGAGACAGGCCCCTAGTGTGCATCCACGAAGAGACGCATTTCACTTTAAGGTAAAAACAAATCACCACCATGTAGCTAGCCAAAATGTCACAAAGAATCAACTGTCTGATTATGTAGAAGTAAATAGTGCAGATCTAGATGGCGTAATTGCGAATAATTCCGCGTTAGACAAGTTCACTGTGGTCGTGAACAGGGAGAGGCAACACCCCACTTGGCATCTAACTAGGAATCTAAATAGGAATCTAACTAAGAAGGCACTTCTCAACACACGTAGCATGCGAAAATTAACAACAAATAGTTTAATAGATTCAATTATTAGTTTATCAAATGATCTGAATAAGACAAGCGAGAAAAAAGAGGACGCCAAAGATGAGTACGATAAAAGTGTACTACACTATGTGCACAAAATTTTGAGTGACCACAATTTCGATTACGACATCGTTAGCAGTGTAAATAAGAACGAAATAAGGGAGTTTAAAAGGAAAATAAAAAAATACAAAGACATACCAAACTTTTATTTTAGAAAACTGTTTAATCATATAGGGGAGAAAAACGAGAGCAGTCGTATGTGCCGCAACTATTTCCATACCACACACTGCTATAATAGTGATTATGACGTTCATTACCATGCTAGAGGCAGATCGAATAGTTGTAACAGACGAAATCATGAACGCATACATGATGGGAAGGAGGAGAGAAAAGGAAAATATGCCTCCCCTTCACTTTACACACACCAACGTTGCCATTCGGATAATTATTTTTCAGAAAAGATAAAAAAAAAAAAGAACAACAAAAGGAAGAAGCGGAATAGGAGTCACGTTTATCACCCTGTCAACCCTGTTGAGCGCGCAAATTTGAGCAAACAAGAGGGGAGTAACTCTCTCATGAGAAGGATAGAGACAGGGACAAGGACAGACACAAGGACGACAAGTAAGCACCTTACCAATTTGAAGCCTCCTTTGAACCACCAAGACGTGGGCGCCAGGGGTGACCACCCCAAAGTGAGGAATGCATCTGGGAAAGAAGGAATAGTAGAGAAGAAGACACATGTGGAGGAAAGAGCAGACAGCGGTATTTATAGCAACGCCAGTGCTACTGTCACCGCCCCATGCAACCAAATCAAGCACGGGAAACAGGAGAAAGAGAACACACTGTTACGTGTGACGAGCGCACCAAATGGCGATAAAAATAATCTTCATTCGGACAGAAAACCGCTACACTGCGTCAAAAAATGCACGTCTACGTTTACAGACCCGAAGAAGCATATCCCCAAAAGGGAGAACCTCCCAAAAAGAGAGAACCATTTGGACCATACGTTGGAGAAGGACTGCCCATCAATAGAAAACACACACTCAGGTAAATATCCCGAGACAGAGGAAAGGATTCACCAAATAGATTTAAAAAAGGAAAATTCGACAGAGTGCATTGTGCAGAAAAAATGCAGTGTCCAGGAAAATGTGCTTGTGTGTAATGGGAAAAAGAATCTGCACGAAAGAACATCTAACTTAAGCAGCTTCAAATTTTCTGAAAATGCGGATAGTAGTTGTATGCTTTCGAATGTAGCCAATGCGAGTATTGCCCCTAGTGTTATGAGTAGCGCTACTGGTACGCTTAGGAAAAATCCCTTCGAAGGGGTCCCCGGGATTGTTACGCAGTATGCACCGGTTCATATGAATAGCGCTGACCGGATCAGAAACGATGAGTGGATATTTAGCACTAGTGAGACGCAGAATGATCGCAGTGCCATCCCAAATGATAGGAAAGAAGAGGCCAATTCTAGTTGTAGTTGTAGCTGTGGCACTTCCGCGAACGTGCCCAATGAGTGCACATTTAGCCTGAACAATGTTAAGAGAAATGATTCGTTTGTCAATTCTACCGATGCTAATGCTAGTAACAACGTATATTTCAGTGCAGACAATAAGAGTAGTCACAGCGTCAGCAGCCTCCACGGCAACAATATACCGTGTGTGAGCAACTGGTGTCGCAGTTTTTTCAAAACCAGCTACCAGCAGCAGAATATTACTTCTACCTTGAGCAGTTCAGTCAGTAGGCATCGTAAGGATAGATGTGGCGCTGCACCATCGGTAGGAATCCTTAACCGGGGAGGTGCACCCCAAGGCAAAGAGACCAACGGTGATAATTCCGCTATTCCTATTGTCCCTTTTCAGCGAAGCGTCCAGGGGAAAGCTGTAGACGCTGATGGTGGTGCCGCTTATGGTCCTGATTGCGGAGCTCGTTCTGGTACTCGTTCTGGCGCTGCTGCTCGTGGTGATGCTCGTACTGATGCCGGTGCCGAAAGGGACAATACGACAGATAAGCGGAATATAAGAAGAGACCCCTCCGAATTGGCAGGAAACAATTTGGAGGACCAGAAAAGTCTGAGGTCAAGCGTAAACTCGCTAACCAGCGCGGAGCTGATCAAAACGCCCGTGGTATCAAATATACAGAACAGCCATTTTGAGCGAATTCCCAAGATAGACCAAAGGGATAGCACCTCCTTCTGCATCTTCAAGAGGAAAAACAGAAGGGAAAGGGCGTCAAGTAGGACCCCCCTAATTAGGACACCCCTGATTAACACCCCGCTGATTAAGACTTCGCTAATTAACGCCCCTCTGATTAACACCCCCATAATTAAAATCCCCCTAATTGAGACCCCCCCAATTGCTGACATTCCAAGTTTTCGCAACAGGGCTAATGATATTGATTTCCTAGCAGAGGGTACAAACAGGGGAGACAATTTTCCTTACAATAATAGAGACAAAAAAATGAATAACAATGATGATCATAATTTCCTGGTTGAAGAATGCCTGAAGAAATGCATGAAGGAAAATGCATCAAAATTTAGAACGAATGAAGATTATGAAAGGTACTGCAATGAAGACAAGATTCTAAATCCGGATTACATTCCACAAGAGTCGAAAAGGCTTGGTGAAAAATTTTTACAGAATCAGAAGGAGAAGTTTGCATCTTATGGCAACTCCAGTTTTCATTATCAGCCCTATATGAGCAATGCAGAATGTGGAAATAGCTGTTTTAAGCAGGACCAACCTGGCTACAACCCCTACAATGATCCGAACGGGAATTTTATGAATAATATGAAAATTAACGTATTCAACAATACCGCTTCTCAGAATACGTCTAATAGCACGTTTAACAACGTCGGGATTTACAGCAACAGTCATATAAATTCTATCAATAAGGAGTATTACCTGAAGAAGGGAAATGACTACAGCAATGATGTTTTCATAAAATACTATGAGCAGTATGCAAATAAAGACAATGATAAGAATGAGGCAAAGAAATTCAACTACACCGATTGCTACGATTTTAAGAATACCCTTCTTAATGGACTAAGCAGAGAAGACAGTTTCGGCTCCGATGATGATCTAAAAAATGAAGACAATGAAATGAACTTTCTCAAAGATTCGTTAAACTCTTTTGATAACTTAGAATCTACGGAGAAAAAATATGAAGAAATATTACGAGACTTTAACGGGAAAATACCTCTATTGCATAAGGTGTTGAAACCCTTGCCAGTGAAAAATCGATCAAACAATTTTGACATTTGTCTGTACCTACTGCAGAAGCATGGAGGAGATCTAAACAATGAGGAGAATATCTGCATCTTAAGGGACAAAGAAATTGTCCAGCATAGTGCCATTTATGATGCTAAAAAAGGCTGCATAAAAAGTAATATAACAAATGTGACAAATATAAAATTGTACCACCCCAAGTGGCATAACAAGAAGAAGATTCTGGAAAGGTTAAAAGAACAGAGCTGTTTTAATCCCTTCACGATATTCGGATCTGCTCCGAGTCTTCTCGATTTTGATGAAGTATTTGACAAAGATGTGTATAACAATTTCGTTTCAAGGAATAGCCGTAAGTCCCATTCTTTGCTGCGCATTCTAGCAAAACAGAAAGTGATTAACAATCTGAATGACAAGATAACGGATAAGGAATGGCCACAGGTTCACTCCTATTTAAAAAAAAGGTGGAGTAAAGAAACAAACATTGAACTGAACTGGGCATGCGACCCTTTACTTTATGAAGAACTGGAGTGGTATCTAAGCACAAATAATGAATACCTAAATATGACTGACAAAGTAGCGGATATTGAAGTCTGCTACTGCCCCACTCTCAATCCTAGTTCGTATTATGCATGGAATGACTCCAGGGTTATATACACCAACCTGTGCTACAACAAATCGAAGGAAGATGGTGAGGCCAGTAGCCATTCTATGAAGGACAAATATGCAGGGAACAGAAACCCAGAACTGAAAGGTAAAGATAAGCAGGTCTCCTTTAGGAAGAGGGCAAGCGGATGTGAGCACCTCATGTTTCAGCAGAACCTGATGAAACAGAAGAAGTTATCCAAACGGAAGAAAAAGCTCCTGAAGAGGAAGAAAAAAATGCTCAAGCTCAAGGAGAAGAACCAAATGTTCAGGGATCAGAGTAGACGGTTAGCCGCGAACGAGGGGGACGCCGCCGATGTGGAAGGTGTAGATGTAGAAGCTGTAGATGTAGAAGCTGTAGGCGTCAAAACGGCAGACGCAGCCGACGCGGCCAACGCGGCATCGTCGGGGGGCTTCTACATGGAAACAAAAGAGGGGTCTAAGAATGCCCACAAACATGTGTATTCCTCTCAGCAGAACAAGACGAATTTTTCAAATGACCCGTGCATGAGCATGGGGCTGGGCATGCGGATGAGCGCACTGAAGAGTAACAAGAACAACCATGATAGCGCGTATTATCCCAACATCTTCTGCACCAAGAAGAAGAAGAGTGTCTACCATAACAAGAATTACGACGAAGATGTCATACCCATTATGACCGTCAATACGTCTTTGTACAGGCACAATATGGACAACAAATACAATTGCAACAATACAGCATTTGATTACATTAAGAATAAGGATAACACCATTAAATTTTTTGCCTCTCCGAAGAAAACAAGGAAGAACAATTCGGTTAAAAAATCGGTTAACAATTCGGATAATTTCTATTTCTTAAATTCCTCCATGATAAATTCGGACAACATTTACAATAACAATTTGGATAGCTTTGATTCTAAGGATTCGGGGGATGGTAATGATTTCACCTCTGTTCCTGTCTTTCACAAGGATAATACATTCGATGCTTCAGATGATAAGATGAGAAGCAGAAATGAACTCGACACAAGAAATAATCCCATGGGTGGCATGCAAATGGACAGATTTGATAATGCCTCGGAGAACTTGTGCGAAAATCTGCGAATGAAGGAGCACACCACTCACATGAGTAATAACAATATATACGAATTTAAGGGCACCAAAAATGCCTATGACTTTAGGAAGAATGACAATGATGGGGATGCGAATGGAAATCGAAATGGGAATGGGAATGGGAATGCAAATAGCACTAGCATGGGCTACATGACAAGGGATAATGAGAACTACTCAAGCAAAGGTGGAAGTTTCTGCTACAGAGGAGGGGGAGCAGGAGGAGGAGGAGGACCTACTAATGACTACATGCAGCCCTTTCACATGAGCATGGCGGACAAGTATGGAAACGCGAATAACAATGTGAATATGAACATATTTAGCAATATACGAATGTACGAGCAGAATTTTAACAAGAGCGGGGATCATGGGGACAGCACGAACAGCCTCAGTAGAGATTACGACATGGACAACCATGGCGGTAGCTGCATGGGAAAGGGGCCCTTCACCAAGAGTAGCTTCGTCGATAGAAGCCATTACGACATGGAGCAAACGAGTTTTTCCTCCAACAACTTCGGCCATTTTTCAACCAGGGAAATGGCCAAAAATGAACTGCAGTACGGCAGCATCTTCCGCACCGGTCTGTCCAAGCCAAACTTTGCGGAACAAAAGCAAAATGAGAGTCAAAGTCAAAAAGAGACTCAAAGTCAAAAAGAGAGTCAAAGTCAGAACAAAACGAAATTCCCCATTGAGGTAAGCGAAAGGTACCCCATCAAATACAAGGGGACAAACGCCGAGTACAGTGACAGCCATGGAGACAATAGCGGCAGAAACCGCCACAACAATCGCAATGACGATGCGGTGACCCGGGACAATTGCAACTATTTCGAGTGTAAGTATGAAAACAGCTCAAACAAACATGCTAACGGGAAGAACAGCCAAATGATAGCGGACTATTTTCTCAGCAAGAATACTGAAAATTACGACCCGAAGGAAAAAAAGAAAATAATAAATGAGCAGTATGGCACTGGGGAATCTCAGAAAAGTATGAACATCGCTAAGGCAGACATGAACGTCCTAAAGATTACGCAACAAAATATCGACAAAAAATATATTCAAGAAAAAAAAATTAAAAGCAGTATGTCCTTTTATACAAGTAAGAAAGACACAGATAATTCGACAGCAACTTTTAATTCGAAAAGGTTAAGCAATAGCAATATTATTGCTAACCAAAATAGAAAAATTAGAAGGTACACCAATAAGATGTGTCAGGATGATAACACATCTTTTGACCATTCAGAAAATGGCAAAGGAGAGGGTAATAAGAAAAGAAGTGTAGAATCTCCTTCAAGCAGAACCAGCGACACTTCGATGTCTAGTGCTTTCAAAATGGCTACCTCTGTTTTTAAAAAATTATTCTAGGGGAAAAAAAATTAAATGGGCATGAGTCCACCCAAATAAACTAAAGCGCGCTTTAAATAGAACCGTTTTTTTAAAAACAAAATTGGCAGTAAAGCAACCGTCGTTTCCTTCTTAGCAGATTACTTATATACATACTTTCTTAAATAATTAAACCTATCAACATTTTACGGGAATGCACAGATGTAGTAAAAATGTTGTAGTTCTGGAATGAATGGGCCATCCTCTTCATTCGTGATTATGCTTTTTTTTTTTTTTTTTTTTTTTCTTTTTTTTCCCTTTTCCTTCTTGCTTGGCCTTTCTTTTTTAATTAAGTTCTTTGTTTAACATTTCAGTCCATAGGTATTTTAAATTATTAGTCGTGTATTCTACCTTTATGTAAGCACCTGCCAAAGGGCTATATATTATTTATGCTAAAGTGCGCATGCATACAAGTATATGCGCATTTATGTACAATTTATGTACACATTTATATAATACATATATATGTATGCATTTTTTTTCTGTATTATGAATTACCTAATAAAACATTACAAGTGCCCTTCTTCACCTCTAAAACAGTGTACGATATATTTTTACTTATTAACAACTGAATTAAATACCCTTTTTAAAAAATAGATCTACTGCAAACTTTTGAAGTTGATGTTTCGAAAAGTAGCTAAATGCATACGCGTGAAGTAGCGTTATGCTACACTAACATGCACATCTGTACGTATAAAGCACTATTGTATATGTTTAGGTGTACTATAAAATATCGTAAAAAGAGTCAACACAAACTGTTGCATGTTAGGTAATTAAAAAAACGTCCAAAGTTTTTTAAAAACTTATTTGACATTTACGTATCCCTAGAGGGACAGATAAATGTTCCGCGTCTTATGCTTCATTCTATATATATGCTATATGTGCTTACCTCTTCTTTACCATTTATCTTCCTTATTTCTGTATTCCACCGCATGTCATTTTATGGTTAGAAGCAAAGAAAATATCATTACTATTCTAGAAAGTTTCATAAAACCGTGGAACTTTTATATATTTAAAACATGTACTTTTATTTTCTACAAGAAACGAGAAAAAAATTCTAAAATGTTAAGTTTCAAAAAAATATATAATGTCTTTTTCTCCCATTTAAAAGGTTTAAATGTGAACCTGTACAATTCGGTATAACAAGGTATCTTATTTTCGTATTTTAAGAATATATGTGATTATGTATAGTATGACTAAAGGTTCGAACCGTAAAAGCAAAATCCTCATTTTAGGAAGTTCACAATATAACACAAAAGTATGATATTATTGTAAAAAATGCCTCATTTTTCTGAAGCTCATAAATATGTGAACTCTTATGCATTTTAAGGTACAACAAAATAAAGGACTCTCATAGATATATAACACATATGTTTGCACAAATTTTGCAAATGAATAATCTTTACACATTGAAATTTACTTGACACATAAATGTATACGTCACAGTTCTCAAGAGCTCCTTTCAAATACTCTTTTTCTTTTGTTCTATTATTGTCATTGTATTAGAATAAAAATAAAATTAATAACATCATGTATAACAGAAAGGTAAATGGAATTGAGCGTGATAAACAATCGGATAAATTTCATGTCATAGAAAAAGTAAAAGATCTTATGGAAATGTTATAACCCTCATGTTTTCTCATCTTGTGGGTTGTGTCTAAGAGTAATGAAAAAAATGTGCGGCATAAATATCTGAGGAATTTTCCCTTTTTTAATTACATTTCTTATACAGAAAGACAGCTATAACAGAATTTTTATCCAATTTTTAATTTTATCAAAAAGGTAACGTAGAAAGATAACAGATGTATCTTGCTAAGACAACTTTGTTCCTCTCTCCCATAACAGTAAAATGAAAATGTATAAAGCAAATTACATAATTCCATCAACTGATATAAACAACACATAGGATGAAAGTGAACTCTTCTATTATAAGCTAATATTTATGATCACTTATTTAGAAATCATGCGTTAGACAGAATCTAAAGTTTAATTTATGTAAATAATCAGGTAAATGATTTTAAAATGTTTTTACCCCTAGTCCATATGATGGACACACATTATACGTGCTGAAGTATTTTTCTACATAAATAAGTGTTTAAGTTCTTACATCAAAATATATTTGCCCTACATAACAGGATGAAGAAATGCTCATTTAATTTTGCATAAAAGATTAATAATTAACACTCTAGAAGGACTAACGGGTGCTTCATTTTTTTTAGCAATAAAAAAGGTAGAGTAAAAACATATAAATAAAAGATGCCGTGTTTCTTACTACAAATGGTCAGTAGGACATGTGCTAATAAAAACTCCGGATTGTCTAGAAACATTCATGACATAAAATGTGCCCTTTTTCATTAAATTTATCCATTTAATTAGACTATAATGATAAATGAATATGTTTAATAATTTATATATACTGTGTTATTTTTTTAATTCACATAATTTTATTCTAAAGTGTATCTTTAAAAACACATTAGTACTTGTATAATACACTGATACTAACCCTGAAATGTATACATTAATACCTTCATTTAAAAATAAGATCTCTGACATGTTAAAGCTCATTGAGCCACGGTTATGAAAATTTTATAGAACAAAGAAAAAATCCAACATGTAATATAAAAAAAGTACTGAAATAATTGACAAAGAATTTTATTTTTATATGTTCCTTTAAGTTTTCAAATTAGTGTATTCAAGAAATAAAGAACTCTTCTATTTTTTGCTACAGCTTGAAAGAATTTTTTTCTTTGTAACAGAAAAACAGCTCATTCCATAATTCTTTTAATACATACACTAGGTAATAATGAAAGTTCAATGTGGAAAGAAATAATTCTTTCAGTATTTCAGTATAAATATATATAGAAACATCACCCCATTTGTGTGTTATAAGCTTAAGGAGTTCAAGGTTTCCTGACTTGTAGCAGTGCGTAGTTATATAATCATTTTATTATGGTGACAACTTATCATAACAATAAGCATAAAAAATACTAAGTAAACTGCCAACTTTCTTTATAGATAACTAGCTTTTTGTTAAAGGTTTCATTTATACAATGTTTTATAAATCACTTTTTGAGCAAAAACACACACTTCATTTTAAAAATGGGTTCACAAGAACATTATCAGTTATTAATTAGATCTATAAGACAAACAAAAAAGCAAGTTTTAAATAAATGTAAATATATTTTTTAAGCTAGTTTAAACGTTCATAGCATTTTTTGTTGGAATTTCACCATGCTATGCTTTTATCTAACAATTATCCATGATCAATTTCGTTCTTATAATACTGTTTTCAAGCAAAATGCAAATAGAAGGTACCGCCAATTATAAATTATTATGAGTAACAATGAATTTTCACTATAATTTTTTGGACAGAGGGATTTCAAAATAGGTATTAAGTTTTGATAAAAAAAGGATATGTGCAAAAGTTTATTGTTTTTATTATTTCTCTTGAGTTGATAATTTATTCTTGGTATAAATGAATGCTAGTGCTATAAAAAGGATTTACCTTGTGACATTTCAAAAATATTAAAATATATTAACAATAATAGGACATATTAAGCCATATACATCCCTAACATGTTACCATGTTTCTGTTAATTAATTTCGGTTTAATTCGGGATGTTGACATAGGATAGACATGTATCGAATTTTAAATTTACGTGTATTTTTAGGTGGCTTCTATTATATTACTCATTATGATTATTAAATTTTAGGTAGTTATATGTTTTTGCATCAAGAAGGCACTTTTCTTGCATTAATTAGAATTCATGGATGCATGAAATAAAAAGAATTAATTAAAGTGGAAAACAAGTTAAAAATTTCCACTTATGCTAATAGGTGCTGGTTTACAATTTCAAATATTTCATACCAAAAAGTATTGTGTAATAACTAACAGGGAAGCGGCAAAAATGTACAAAGGTAAACATTAGAAGGTATAACAAAAATAACAACCTAATATTTCATGAATTGTTATATAAGTCTACATATTGTTGCAAAAATTGATTTAAGCATTTATGAGATACAAAGACAAATAACCCTTTTAATGAAATTAATGATACAGCTTTGTTTGAATCGATTATAGCAGGGAAACCAAAAATCCCTGAGTTAAAATGCATTTCTTCGTGTTACATTCTTACTACAGTTTACAATATTAAGCAAACATTGGACTAAATTTAAAAAGAAACGCCAATTTGTTCTTATTAAAACAATTATAAAACTGTTGTATAACGCGTCTGTATGATTGTTTCTTGAATGTTACTTATTTCATTTGAAGCATTCATAATGAACATTGGATATAAATTTCCAGATGTTTATTCATTTCACAATAATGACCCTTAGAGTCTGTTCTTCTAAAAGTAAAATAAATATTATGTTAATTCATATATTATAACTGAATAAATAAAGCAAAAATTTACATAAAATAATATAATTTAAAAACAAAAAAACATAATACAAGCTAATTTCACGGTTTTAAAAGTTAATATTAAATAAAAATAAATTTACAT